AGCCCTTCCCTAGCTTGTAACTACTTTGAAAAATAAATTGCTCTAAATTATCCAACCTTGTGGCACTGATTTCTCAGCAGAGCTGAGTGCTGTGAATTTTGCTCATCAGGGAGCCTTGGGGACAGTGGAAGAAGCAGCGATGGCATGGTATCCTCTGAGCAGCACCCTCACCCTCCGTGTCTTTCCCACCAGTCTGTTGTGAGCCCTACAATGACACCATTAGTTTGCCTTTAGGGTAAGATGTTGTCTCTTTAAGATTGCCTTGTCAACGTTCCTTTAAATAACATGTCAAGTTACTAGTATGTTAGAGGATTAATTAGCTTATCATCCATTTTCTCACCATTGTGACAAGAAAGCCGTATGCATTTGGATGAGGGAAGGGTGGAGGTTTTTTTTTAATCTGGGGCTCCATACATCCATAGGACCACATTGTTCCGATTGCAAAGTCCTGGGCTTATCTGAATCAGGACAATGCCTGCTTCTGCTTGGCCCCAGGGCTATTCTGTCCAAGTTGAAGCGTTTCAGGATTGGTGCCATCCACCTAAAGGGTTTGTCAACACTCACTGGAACCTTCCCAGAAGACAGTTAATAAGATAAGAAGAGGCAAAGCCATGACAGCTAAGGAACTATGGAGGAACTGGGATGTTTTGGGGAGAAAAAAAGAGATTTGGGAAAGATATGATTTTGTGTTCCAGTATATGACAGCAGGTCAGGTGGCTTTGTTCTTTGTGGTCCTGAAGAACAGAACTGAGACTAAGTAAGCAAAAGGCAGATTGAATTAAATCTAAGGTCTTGCCCCTCAAACTCTGGTCAGGGGCATTGCTATTACCCACCTAAGGCAAAACGCTCAGTGGTCCTCCCAAACTTTTAGATAACAGATCCGCAGGTGTTTTTGAAGGCACATTAGAGAAGCACAGATTTAAGGAACACTCTCCCAGGGAGAGAACTCGGCAGTTAAATAACCAGGTGGAACTCTCCAGAGATAGTTCCCTTGGGAGTCAGGTGGAGTTGACATTGTAAAGAGCTTTGACATGTCAAAGCCACTCGCAACTTGAAGGGCTGCTTGGGAGGAAGGTGATAGTGATCTCCCCATTGTGGGTGACAAATATGTGTGTCTTGTTAGGGTCACTAGTGGGACTGTTGGCCACCCAGAAGAGTAGGAGCAAGATGTCCTCTCTGGTCCCTTACAGGCTGACAGTTCCGGGCTGGAGGTGGCAGAGAACAGCCCTGTACAGCAGGAGGGCAGGGTACCCTCAAAGGATTAGCAAGGGCCTCCCAGAGGTGAAGGTATGGACACCAAGACAAAGTGGCTCTATTAGAAGCAAGACCTCTTCCCTTGCAGGAGAGGGAGGGCTTCTTCCTCATCTCTTCCTCAGATCTTTGAAATATAAACTCTCTCTTTTTTCTTTTTGAGCTGGAGTCTTGCCCTGTTGCCCAGGCTGAAGTGCAGTGGCACAAACTTGGCTCACTGTAACCTCTGCCTCCCGGGTTCAAGCAACTCTCCAGCTTCAGCCTCCCAAGTAGCTGGGATTACAAGGCGTGCACCACCATGCCCAGCTAATTTTTGTACTTTTAGTAGAGATGGGGTTTCAACATGTTGCCCAGGCTGGTCTCGAACTCATGACCTCAGGTGATCTGCCCATCTCAGCCTCCCAAAGCTATAAACTCCCTTTTCAAATGATCTTTTTCCTGTGTTTAGGGAAAATCAGCCTTCAGGCTTCCCCGCTGCCTGAATTCAGCCTGGAGGCTAGAGTTCTTGGCCTGAGACCAGGAACTTAGTTATTTCCTTCCAATTCTATTAATTGACATCTGAACGTGGTTTGTTTGAGGAAGTAGCGCAGCTCCCTGGGTGCTTTAGGAGAATGGAGGCAGAAAGATGGACTTGATAACATTGGTGGCTGTGTCAGAAGTCATGAGATGACCATGGGGAAAATGTGATCTTGTCTTTGAATGTTAAAATAAAAAAAGACCCAAGTATAAATATGCTTTAGCCAGTGCGTCTCAAACTTTAATGTGCAAAAACCACCTGAGCGTGTTGCTAAAATTCAGATTTTGGTTCAGCAAAGCTGGGGTGGGGTCTGAGAGCCTGTATTTCTTTAAAAATAAAATTAAACTAAATTTTTTATTTTGTATAAGTTTATGGGGTACAAATGTAATTTTGTTACATGCATAGATAGCACAGTGCTAAAGGCAGGGCTTTTAGGGCATCCGTCACCCAAATAATGTACCTTGTACCCATTACCTGATCCTCGTCTTCCCTCCCACCCGCTCACCATTACAAGCTTGCATTGTTTCTCATTCCATAAGACAGTCTGCCTTTCGAACAGGTGCCCAGGTGATACTGGTGCTACTGATATTGGTGCAGCTGACAGAGCGGGGACCACACGCTGAGTGATAGAGTATGGGCGGGCTGGCAGAGTCCTGCTCACACAGAGAAACTTATTCCAAGTTTTCAGTACAGTAAGTCTGCCTGTGCTAAGATGGTTCTTCTCTCTATAAGTGTTGCCCCTGAAGATGGTCCAGTGTCCAGTGGAGGTGTTTCGTGGCTGGAAAGGAAGAGAAGGGCTTGAGAGTGGTCGGATCAAGGTGGCACTTGTATAAATCCAGGGAGAAAGACAAAGCTTGCACATCAGGAGAAGGGGGTAAAAGACAGGAAAGAACGATGACAAACAGATTTCTCCCTGTGGCTGGCAAGCACCTGAAGCACAGTCTCTGGTGTCCTTTAAATCTTCCCCAATCCCAAGAAGATACGAAGATACCCCTCTGTTCTCCCCAGATCCTTATTTCCACATTCACAGTGGCATTTGATTCCACCTTATATTGCAGGACCCCACGTCCAGGTCTCATCTTCCTGCTACATAGACCTAGGGGCAGGGCCATGGGGTCCCCAGCACAACCTGAAACATAGCAAATACACGGTAAATACTGACTGACTTGAATTCTATGCAATAGGCAGAACAAATTCTCTGCTCACGAAGAGTAGGAGATCTTTGGAAACCACAAATGTGAGAGTTGAACTCTTTTGCAAGATCTAATTTAGTAGTTGGTTTCCTGCCTTTTGAAGGTTTAGCATAATGGGGACAGATTGTTTACTTTTGCTGAGTAGCTTCTTTGATATACAGATGGCAGGGGGTGGAAGATGAGAACGGACATTTGTTCTTGAGGCTTACTGTTTCCTTCCTTGGCTGGTGGTCTCTGAGCAGGCACCAGAACTCCCTCAGAGCAGCAGTCACTCACGGTGTTCCATTACACTGAACCTATACACTCAGCATGGAGAAGTCAAACCTGCCTCCTTGCTCAACAACACATTTATCTAATATAATAACATTGCAGAGAATAACTCTATGGAGAATGTGTATCTTTGAGAAAGATCATTTATTTTTAAAAGGGAACAGGGTTAATCAAGAGGCATGAGTTTCATTACATGGAGCCATCCCTTTAGTCATTTGCCAGATAGTACTAAGCTCCCTGTTTGTAATGCAGTAAGGTGCTCAGGGCCCAGGTCGCTTGTTCAGAGCCACACACAGAGCAAGACAGCAGTGGGGAAGAAACTGAGAGCAGGTCTTCTCATCCCCCGCCCTTTGCCTTTCCTTCCAAGTCCTGCTGACCGTAAGGCCTGTATCCAGCACTGGCTGGGGGGTGGGGTGGGGGGGTGAGGGGGGCGTGGTCCCTGTTTCTCAGCTCAGAAGGCTGACTGCACGCAATGGACGTTCACAAAGGGTTGTGGTGCACCTGTGTTGCTTCCAGCAAAGATGCGAAAGAACAGAACAAACCCAGCCCTCAGTTAGCAAAATTAAGGAGGAAACCACACTCCAGAAAGATCCATTCACTTCTCCTTCTGGGTTTCCTGCCTTTCCCCCATGGGATGTTTCCTCCATGTCCTTGTGCTCTGGCTGGATGACCCACGGGGAAGGCAGAGTTTATCATTCCAGCTGCCCAGATAACTTCCTTATTCCTACAAAACCCACACGAATAGCCTACTCCACCAGACAGTGACAGACTTTGATCTGGTGTTTTAACTACTATACAGAATGATGGTAGAAAAAGAAAAGAAATGAAGGGGGAGATCTTGATGAATGGGTACAGAGTGTTGGTTTTATAAGACGGGTTACGGAGGTAGATGCTGGTGATGGTTATGCAACATTTTGAATGTATTTAATATCTTTTTTTTTTTTTTTTTTCCTAAAACAAGGTCTTCTCTGTCGCCCAGGCTGGAGTGCAATGGCGTGATCTCGGCTCACAGTAACATCTGCCTCCAGAGTTCAAGCGATGCTCCTGCCTTAGCTTCCCAAGTAGCTGGAATTACAGGTGCCCGCCACCATGCCTGGCTAATTTTTATATTTTTAGTAGAGACGGAGTTTCACCATATTGGTCAGGCTGGTCTCGAACTCCTCAGCTCAAGCAATTCACCTGCCTCAGCCTCCCAAAGTGCTGAGATTACAGGAGTGAGCCATTGTGTCCAGCCAAGATTTTATGTGGTATGTATTTCACCACAATTAAAAAACTTGAAGAAAGAAAAGAACTGGAATCCCCCCCACCTCAAAAAAAAGAAAGAAAAAGGAATGAAGGAGGGTGCGTTCCTGCAGATGCCTTCGCACCTGCTTGTGTCCCAGTGCAGGCCACGTGACTGGAACATTTCAGAGCTATGTTCGTTCTGTCACAGCCAAGGGCCACATGGACAAATGAGCTGTCTCATTCTCAAGCTGAGCATTAGAAAGGGGGTCATTTGGAAGAAGAATAAACTATTAGTGGCAAACGCTGGTCTTAAGAATCCTTGCAGAAGGTTTCGATGAAAAGGTTGAAAAGGAGTGTCCAGGCCAGGCACAGTGGCTCACGCCTGTAATCCTAACACTTTGAGAAGCCAAGGTGCACAGATTTCTTGAGGCCAAGAGTTCAAGACGAGCCTGGCCAACATGGTGAAACCCCGTCTACTAAAGTACAAAAATTAGCCAGGCACGGTGGTGGGTGCCTATAATCCCATCAGGAGGCTGAAAGGACAATCACTTGAACCCAGGAAGTGGAGGCTGCAGTGAGCCAAGATTGTGCCACTGCCCTCCAGCCTGGACGACAGAGCAAGATTCTTTCTCAAAAACAACAACAACAACAACAACAACAAACTAAAGAGTATCTACAAGTTCTGTAGAAAATACAAAAGCCTTCAGATTTTTCCTGACATTTAGGGCCATAGAGGCTGAGCTGTAACCCTCACAGCATGGAATAGGGGAGTGTTCTCCGGGGTAAGCTTCCTCATCTTAATTCTCCGTATGTGCCTATGTAAATTCATTTAGGAAAAGCTTTATTCTATTTTCAGTGATATCTTTCATTAAATTATGATATCTGTACATATTTTTAAATATTGAACTAAAAGGGAAAATACAATCTCTTTTTTACAGAAAGGGCCTCTGGAGAAAAGCCTGCATTTCATAGAATTTAAAATGGATTCTTTACTATGTCCAGCAATTGATTGGATCCCTTTGCATTGTAAGGCTCAGGTTCTCTTTCATGCCCTGTCGATAATGAGGAAGTTATTTACTCAATAACTGTTAACCAATAAATGAATGTTCCAATTAAGTTGTTTGAAATGGCCAAGGTAACTTCAATATGAACTAGAGTAATATTGAGTCATGTCGACCCCTTTGATAAAATTTTGGTAGAAAGTAATTGCGTTCAAATAAAACAAAAAGAAGTGAACACACTTCTCGTCTAAATCACAAATGATTTTGTGGATTAAGGATGCCAGCACCTGAGACTTGAGGAGCAGAATGATGCCGGCAGTAAACTCCTTGCAGGCTTTCTACTGTTTGGGGGTGTGACGGAGAAAAGCAGCCTGAAGAAAAGAGGCCGAATGGACCCCTTCTTCCTAGAAGGCAGACCCCAGGAATTCTCTGAAAGACACCCCTACCTTTACCCTACACCCTCTCCTCAAATAACAAAATCTCCTGTGTCCCATGAGGCGAACAGTTCTTCATGTGGCACCCCACTTCTCAGTTCTCCATGAGCTAGTAGAGCTGGCCAGATGGCAGGCTGGGGGGGTCTCCCAGCCTCTCTCAACCAGCTGTGTCGTGTCCGCTGCAGAAGATGCTCTGGGTTTCTGGTGAGCCTGTCCAAAGAAGCTCCTGCCTCTGACCAAAGAGTAGGTCCGGAGGATGGGCCAGGTATCTAAGTAGATCCAAGGGGTTGGAAACCAAGTTCTCTGATTTACACCTCAGAACGCAGGAGGCACAAGGACTGGTGGAAACAAGGGGACAGGGTATGTGGGATGCAGCCCTCCGGATCCAGGACCTCCAGGACCTGCAGTGGTTGCATTAGAGACTGCGTTTGGTTATTCCGCCGGACCACAACCCTGAGCCCCCATGGCAGACCCTAAGGTACTGCCATCTGCAGGTTACCCACACCTTTATCTGTTGGTCATGCATGAGAACGAGGGTTAAAATTGTGAACCATGCCAAGAGGAGCTGAAGCAGCTTAGGAAAGCAAGTAGGCTTCTAAGACGAACTTCAGGAACTCTCTCCTACGAGTAGGTGCTTTCTGGGTTTCATTCATAAGAAACAAACCCTTTGCTGAAAAAAAAAAAAAAAAAAAAAAAACTACAGCAAACAAACACAAACTCCCTGGTAGAGAATTGGACAGAAATTCTGTACCAGATATATCCTAGCTACTTAGCTACTGCTGAGTGAATGATTACAACTTCCAATCCGGATATGCAGAATCAGGAGGAATGAAACAGCTTCCCCTTTTCTGTCCACTTTAGTCATCTGTTGCTGTGTAATAAATTACTCCCAACGCATAGGGGGTTAAAACAATATTTACAGTCTCATAGCTTCTGTGTGTCAGGGGTCCAGGCCCAGACTCACTTCTGGTTCTGAATTTCTCACAGGGCTGCATCTCAAACTTCAATGAGGGCAGGATCCACTTTTCCAGCTTTTTCCCACGGTTGTCAGCAGGACTCAGTTTCCCACGAGCTGTTGGTTTGTTGCCAGGTGGGCCCCTTTGCAGAGCATGTCACAGCACGGCAACTGCTCCACCAGCGTGAGCAATGCTAGCAGCGCTGTGAACCTCTCTCAAGTCAAGATGTCCATTTAGAAAGGAAACTTACAAGGTGTCCTCTATTCCCGGGACTTCAGCATTTTCCTGATTAAGGACCACTTTTAATTTCCCCCCAAAGTTCTGTGAAAGACCAAAAAAGTGTGGGGGCTGTGGAGGAAGCAGCATGACCACAGGAAGTCCCACCCACTTCGCCTCCCCCAGCTCTCAGAATCCTCATCAGCAGGGCGTGGAGTTTGGCAAAGCTGCAAGATCATACAGAGTGTGGAAGGGAACCTGCTCTCCTCTTGAGAGCACAGAAAGGACATTCATTATCCCAAACAGATGATTTTGGTCAAAAATGCCTTTGGTCAAAATTTCCAAAGGAGGAAATCAACCCCTAGGCATAGAACAAAGTCTCAGGCAAACCAGAAACATCCAAGAGGATTAAAGAAGTTCAGGTGTCAGGCATTAAAATTACGGTTGGTTGCTGTGCATCTCATTAGGGGAGAGAAAATAGAAATGTACTTAAATGGACCAGAGGGGAGTCATGAGGTTGATTCTCAGGGCTGAGTGATCTGAACTGCAGAGACAACCTTAGAGAGAAAATCCATACTGGCCAGAGACCAAGTTAATGGAAAATGTAATTGAAGTGAGTGAAATGCTCAGCCTCATAGGTAGTATGGCCCTGTGCCCTTTGAACCAGAAAGGCTGGGCCAGGAGGCCACAGAGGGCCCTAAGGGAAAACTCCCTTATCTGCAAGAACAAGGGGCGGGACTGAGTCTGAGAAGAGAAAATCTGCAAACCTCCACAGGAGCCTCACTGCAAGGCTGCATGCGGCGAGGCAATCTTCAGGTTTCGGTCACCAGGAAGTTCCTTAGAGATTCACAGCAGAAGGCCGCTCTGCCTCCCACAGCACCAAGCACGTGCTGGGAACCGGCGGTCCCCCAGAGGAGGGAAGGAGAGGCTGCCAGGTGGCAGAGGCACAACCACAAAGGTAGGCACCGAACACCTGTGTCCGGGCTCCGAGTCAAAGAGGTGCAGCTGGCATGAGCACCTGCTGCTGCTTCCTGCGCCTCCTCCCTCCTGCCCCTCTCCTCACAGGTCTCCTTCTCCTGTGCTCTCTAGGTGACGGCACCTGGCTGAGCAAAGGCGGGTAGCTGCTCCACAGCTCTACCAATCTGCCAACTGCATTCCTGCCTTTTCTGATCTGAGTTTCAGGGTTAGGGGTCTCTGGTGCTGCCATCTCTGTCAGCAAGCTGAGCCAAGCCATTCACACGCGGAGCCCACAGGGCACTGACCGAAGCCTGGGCAGGGTTTATGTGGCCGGCAGGGCTGGGCAGCCCTGCGAAGGGGTCAGCCCATCCATCCTGAGCAAGGCCAGGGCTCCCAGCCTGGAGGAAGGTGGCGCTGCTGATTATGGAAAGCACTCACTCTGCAGCTGCTCCCCCAACTGGGAAGCCTGATTTGGGGAGTGGAGGGCGAGAGAGAGACAGACAGACAGAACTGTTTAGAGATGACAAAGAATAGTGTCTAAGGCTAGATTTTTTGGTTCTTATTGCCTGAATAGTATTACGTGAGAATAATCTTGCATTGTGGTATTGTTGTGTTTCAGGACTTCATTTGGTTAGAGAATCCAAGTTAAATGCCAGTTTAATTTTTAAAAATAAAGTCAATAGTCCTAGCCCACTGAGCTGTGAGCAGTTAAGTCTGTGTCCTAAGTGAGAAGAGAGCTGACACTTGGTCAGGAGCATCTGTGGTTTTCTATACAAAGTCCGTTTCCTGTTCTTTGTCACCCTCTCTGCTTTGGGACTTTCTGTTTCTGGCTTTCTGCTCGTGGCTTTCTCCTGTGCCTCTTCCTCTTTCTGCTTCTCTCTTTGGGGGTTCTCTACATTCCAGGGGCTCACACCTGACCCTCCAGGACTGCAGCAGAAATTGGCTGCACCTGGGTGTCCTGGAAGCCTGGGATGCAGGGACGTTCCCTAACCCCATCTCCATCCCGTGCTTCAGCCGAGGACAGGGCACGAGGGAAGAATCCACACACTCTGGACTCAGAACCCTGAAGCTTTGTTCCCTAAACGGGAAGGCTTAGGCACAGTTCAGATTCATATGCAAACAGGTATCCCTTGAGGCTTGAGTGGGCTTACACTCTTCTAGAGTGTTCTTTGGCCTCACTAATAGGCTTTATAAACAGTGGCTGGAGGGAACCATAGTCCACAAACAGGTTCAGCGATGGTGAAAAAGGACCATCAGTCTCTCCTGAAAGCTCCCAGGACACCAAACCTTGAAAATGTGGCAGATTTCTTTGATGGGGCCACGTGTGCATTTTCCTTTCTATTTAAGCATGTTCTTCTGATTGTACAAAAGGCAGATTACTCTCTTTTTTTTTCTGGAAGAAAAGATTTAATGATTCATAGATGTCAACATTCGTCTCTTGGCTGGGCGCGATGTTACAGAAGTGTATAAAAAGGCACTCATTTACCTTGCTTTGTGTAGCTGTCATTCTCCACCGCAATTAAATGGCCCAAATAGGCTGGGTTGGAGCCTCTTGTTTATGAGAGGTGTCAGGGTGACAAGACAGCTTCTTTCATATGGAAAAGGATTTTGTACAGACACAGGAGGAAGAGACCATGAGTGCCTTCACCTGTCAGCACCAGGAGTCTGGGTGCGGGAGTTAGATCCTCCAGCAGGTCTGCTGGCCCCATCTGGTGTTTGCTCACCAGTTGGCCACAAAAGCGATTGAAAAGTGGGGTTCCCTCTCCAAATACAGACTTGACTTGTTCCTTTCTTTTTACCAACTTTAAATATTGGACTTAAGTAACAAACATATGTCACTGTTCAGTTAAATTCTTAAGCTCCTAGAAGTTCTGCATGCTGGATAACCTAACAGGTTGAATAGTGTAAAGGGTGTGTGTCCAGCAGTCATGTGTTTTAACTGAAGCAAGAGGGATTGAGGCTAGTTGTAAGGAGGAACTTTTAGGCAATGATATTCATAACACAATGGCCTCACTCTAAAGGAGATTGCAAAATCTCTTTGGGGAATGTTTCAGATAAGAGACTCAGTGATCTACCATAGTTTCTTCTCTAGACAACACCCTGTCTGAAGAGAGAGGTTGGGGCTAGCTCAATGCATATCAAAGATTAATTTACCACCTTCGCAATTTCTACTGTGTCTGAATAACACGTATAGAACTGTCTACTCAAGATATTCTTTTACATCATTCATGTCTTTTAACTTCAGCCATTAGTCAGCTTAAGCAATCATATTGTATCAGTGAAATCATTGTTTGATGTGCTAAGTATATGTCATGGATGTACATTGAAATACATGACAATAAAAAGATAACATTTACTGGTTGTTGTAGGTTGAATTGTGTATGTTCAAATTCTAAGGTATCTGGAAACTTTTCTGGAAATGGGTCTTATTTGGAAATACAGCCTTTGCAGATGTAATCAAGTTAAGGGGAAGTCATACTGATTTAAGGCTCTAATCCCATGACTGGTGTCCTTGGCAGAAGAAGGAAATTTGGACACAGATCCTGACACGCAGGGAGAGCACCACAGTGGAGGCAGAGACTGGGGCGCTGTGTCTCCAGCCAAGGAACTCCAAAGATTGCCTGCCAGCAGCAGAGCCTAGAGAGAGACAAGGAGGGATCCTCCCCTAGAGTCCCGAGAGGGAAGCTGGCCCTGTGAACACCTTGATTTCAGCCTGGTAGGCTCCAGAACTACAGCAGAATAAATTTCTGTTGTTTTAAACCACCCAGCTTGCCATTTCTGCAGTCCTAGGAAACAAATGCACCCACGTGGTCCCCTGTCCCACAAGTGGGACACATTTAACATTTGGGGAAATGCTGGGCTGGCTGCTTATGAAGGTCCTTTTCCTTCCTGCCACCGAATGATGAGGGTCATCAATGCATCCGTCACTTTCCGTTTAGCTATGATGTATCAGACTCCTCTATAGAAAAGGGAAGAAAATGCAGTTTCAATTGGGTTTGAACAGATCAATTTCACCAATTCTGGAAGCCACCACAGTGTGTGCATCTGAATGTGCTGTTCACTCGCGGCCACCCAGGAGCCACTATGCTGAGCCACATCTGGGGTTTGTTGATTTTATCTTGACGGTTGTCTACCTGGGCAGACTTTGCAACTGGCACATCCTTTGCCTGAGTAGAGGGTATTGCTTGATGCCCTCTGAAGCTTGTTTTCCCTTCTGATTTATTCATTTGGATCATAGCCCAGAGGCTTTTATTACCTTTGATCTCACCCACAGGCATCAGCAGCTTATTTATTTATTTATTTATTTTTATTTTGAGATGGAGTTTTGCTCTTGTTGCCCAGGCTGGAGTGCAGTGGCGTAATCTCGGCTTACTGCAACTTCCACCTCCTGGGTTCAAATGATTGTCCTGCCTCAGCCTCCTGAGTAGCTGGGATTACAGGTGCCTGCCACCACACTCAGCTAATTTTGTGTTTTCAGTAGAGACAGGTTTCAACCATGTTGGTCAGGCTGGTCTCAAACTCCTGACCTCAAGTGATCCGCCTGCCTCAGCCTCCCAAAGTGCTGGGATTACAGATGTGAGCCACCGTGCCCCGCCACCATCAGCAGTTTTTAAGCCAGTTCAGTGCATGTTCCCTTGTTCCCCATTTCCACACTTTGCAATAAGGGAATGGTCTTTCATCTGCATCTGTATTTTCCAACTATAGTGCCGATTGGTGAATTATCTGCATTCTCTACCTTAGACGATCAGAACTACGTAGGCATATTTAATTTAAAGTGTTTAATAAGCGGGATACTGTTTTCATTAAATCTTTTTTCATTGTTTATCATAAATCTACATAAAGAATTTATGTGTAAGCTCTTTATAATATCAATGTTAATGCATCTTCTGTGTAACAGAAGCCTTACAGCTAACATTGGCTCTAATGTTTACTCAATAAATATTTATCGAGCACTTCCACTATTCCAGGCACCATGCCAGATACTGCATGTGGCTTTCTCACATATACTAAAGCACCTGACATGTGGGACACAAAAAGGATTGGTATCCCAGGCTACGAGAACTTTCCAACAAAAGGAATGTAATGACTCACTGGCTTTAGATCACAGATAGTAGATAGTAGACGCTCAGTACACGTTAGTTTTCCTTTCCCTCACCCCGCTCAGGAAGCAGCCTAGTATATAGCTCCATAGCCAGGTCCTTTTCAGAATCTCCCTTCTGATGGCTTCTGACCCAGAGGGAAGAGATGCAGCCACGGCCATCAAGGCAAAGATGTAGCATTGCAGGGTCCTGAAGACATCTCACAACACTTCATAAGCCGCACAGTATTTGGCACGGAGCACACATCTTCAGCTGCTTAGCTTACACGTGTCCTGGTGACCAGTGTTTGTTACACTTGACTGCATATAATTCTTGAGAATATTGAGAATATGTTCATAACCTCATCTGAAAAGTACTGAACTTCTGTAAATGCTTTTTTTTTAAAAAAAAATCTTTATTGAGATAGCATTCATATATCATACAATTCACCATTTGAAGTACCATTCCATGACTTTTAGTATACAGAGATGTGCATCTATCAGCACAGTTGATTGTAGAATACTTCTATCACCTCAAAAAAACCTCCCACCAACCCTTTTGCTGTCACCCACCCCCATGCCCCAACCCCAATCCCTAGGCAACCACTAATTTACTTTTTGTCTGTATAGATTTGCTTTTCCTGGACATTTTATGTAAATAGAATCATCTGACATGTGGTCTCTTGTGGCTGGATTCTTTTACTTAGCATAATGTTTCAAGGGTCGTTCACACTGTGGCAAGTATCAGTACCTCATTCCTTTTTATGCTTAAATAATATTTTGTTGTATGGATATACCACATTTTAAAAACTCCTTCATCTGTCGATAGCCATTTGAGTTTCTTCCACTTTCTAGCTATTATAAATAGTGCTTCTGTAAACATTCATGTACAGATTTTTATGTAGACATTTGTTTTCATTTCT